GGCCGACATCAATGTCAGTGACCTTGAAGAACTTGTCGACAATGCAGTGGGTAGTGGGTCGAGCATAGTGTCGTTCAAAGGCGCGCAAGAGGCCAGGGACCTTGTCGGCCACAATCTCGTGCAGCCGTGCTCGGTCGGTGTAGTTGAAGGCACTCTTGAAATCGAGGGAGAGCATGGTCCAGCCCGGGGTAGACTCACAGGCTTGAAGCTCACCAAAGGCCATGCCAACCGCTGCTGAAATGCCGTCCTTGACTCCGACGGCCAGCTCTGGACTGGCCTGTAGCAAGTGGGCAATATGTGGCTGCTGTTGCTCGAGCAGAGCGCGGTTGACAACCTTGTTGAAGATGGAATCCGTGCCCACGGGTCGAAACTTGCCATTGGCCTTCTCCAGGATAGTGTAGTTGATGGAGCAAAGGGCATGTCGAATCGACTCGGGCACGGTGTTGTTGGCAATGTGGTGAACCAGAGATACAGCCATTTCAAACACAAGACACCCAAAACGGCAGTCAAAAACATCACAACTGCAAGCCATCACAGCACAAACACAGAGAACATCACGGCACGCTCACATATAGACAAACACAGAGAACATCACGGCACGCTCACATATAGACTAGGGGCTTACTAGACCGACCCATGGTGAGTGATGATGAGTAGGGGAAACACACTTCCCCTGTTATGATGGATGTACGCAAAAGCAGCCGTCCAAATCCGTGGGGGCTCATCGTATCTGTCCCCAACACATTATTGCCAAGTCTGGCTGACCTTCTGATTACAGCTTCTTCTAGTCGCCACGGCCGCCCCGATATGATCCAGCTCCTCGACTTGCTCGCTCGCTGATAGTGTTTTAATGCGTTGACATATTGTGACTTTTCATAGTATTTGACACATCCACGCACGAGTGGTACTTTTCTGGTTAGTTCCAGGCATGCAGGTCGCCCACAATGTTGCCTTGAACTGCACGATGCCTCTAGTAGGCTCTCCTGCAAGTTTGCAAGCTTTGTGATGACCGCTGCCTCCATGTTCTTCCTGACGACTGCTGTTCACAGTAGCGCCGGCTTACTTATCATCAAGATGGAAGGGTCCCTCACCCATCTCCAACAGTGAACCTGTCAGCCGAGTGCAGGGCTATAGACGCTGAAACACCAGTGATTCTCAGTCTCTCTGGCTCCTCGCTCAAACGACCAATCCCAGCAGCGCATCTTCATGAATACCCGCTCTGTCTTGTCCCAGCGCTGTCATGAAACAAGATTCATATTGAGCAGCACCATTTCAACATGTGCCCACCAAGCTTAGACAGGATGTATCACTGACAGACAAGCCCTGCCGTCATGTCTTGCTTTTGAATTGTATTAGCAAGCAGCATGTTATGAAAAACGCCTTGTTGGTGCCATTTCATACACCTTGGCTTTTTTTGGGGAGTACAGCTGCACCGAGATGTGGGTGAGGGGGCATGACGTTTCATTGCTGTTGTGTTTTCGGCTTGGTCCGTACTCTGTTCACGACACCATCGGCATTGTTTGCCAACAGCGCTGTTGAAAACGAAGTTGTGCTCTTTACTTCTGTAAAATGCATGCATGCATGAACTTTTTTTCTTTTTTTTCTTTTTTCCTTTTCTTCACCAATTGAGCTGGTCTCAAAGCGACCAGCTCAGAACCCAGGCAGACACGCGTTGCCACCCTCCCCATCGAGTCTGGTTGCTTCCTTGGCTGACCGGTTGCGAGACCGCATTTGCGACGCTCGCCGAATGGAGCACACTGCATTGGCTGTGGCCGGCTCGTTTTGGAGTGACATGATGAAGTATCGAAGGCGACCACTAGGAGCTTTTGGGCTGATTTTCAGCTGCCTGGCACTCGGCTTGCCGATGCTAGTGCACGGTGGGCTAAGCGTACAGCACTGCCAGTTGTACCTTGAGACGGACTATCTGTTCTATAACAGGTGTGCCATGCCAGCGTGGTATTTCTTTCGTCGTCAGTTTTTTTTTTATTTTTTTTCCTCGTGTTTCACTATGCCCCATGCATCATCATAGAATCCCCAAGGCCGGCAGCACGACCCTCAAGACCCTTGGCAAGAAATTGGGGCGACAGTACCACTTTGATTTCAACAGCAGCCGAATCTACTGGTACGCGCCTATTTGCCTTGCCTCAAACGCGCATTTGACACTGTGCTCTTCAGATTGAAGTTATTTCCGTTTCGTTGCCCTTCAGGGATAGAGAGATCTTTTCCCTTGAGCGACAACAGAGTCATTGTTTGGATATGCAGCGCTATTATCTCAATCACAGCCGAGCGCTGTATGATCAACACGTGAGGTTAGAGCGGCATTGCGTTGTTTGTATCGTGCAGCCTGCACACGAGGTCGACGTTGAATTGACTGACCAGATCGCTCCCAGGTTCTTCAATTGTAGCCAGTTTGGACTATTACAACCAACTTACATCAACATGGTTCGCAATCCTGTTGATCGCATGGTGTCAACATATTACTTTGGCTCTCAAGGTATGTTGTTTATCGGCGAGAATCAAATTCCCTGTTTTCTGCGCACCAAAGTCTTGCAGTGCTTAAACATCGTCCCAAATTCACTGGGAGGGGCTCGACGGTGTGTCCAGGAAATTGTAGTTGTCGGGAGCGTGTTCAGGCTGTGATGGGACCAAAGCAAGCAAACTGGACCATCAATGAATGTATGGATGCTGGAGATGAATGCAACTACCTGCGAGAACTGATGGATGCAAGCTCTTTCAATCTGGTGCGATCGCTTCTCCACCAATGCACAGAATCATGCATTTTTTTTTTCCAACCAATTGCATCGAAGAGCGGGGGGCGGGGTCGCATTCCACCATATGTCTTCGACACAAGTGATTCTGCGCTTGCTTGTGGCGCGCAGGCGAATGATGAGTGTTCTCTGTTTTTCCCATTGCCGATTGCCTGTCATTTTGTGTGCCTGTGCCTGACGGATTCCGCACAAACGGCACCGACCTTGCCTCTCTCTGTCTGAATGGATGAGTGTCATGTCATTCCGTGCTGATTCTTTGCTGCTCCTATCTCGATAGATGACCACCTTTTTCTGTGGACACGGTCCCGAGTGCACCATGCAAACACCCCAACAGGCTCTTGCACGAGCCAAGCAGCGGTTGGAGCGAGATTATGCACATGTGGCGGTGCTGGAGCGCATGCCAGAGAGCCTTGCCTTATTTGAACTGTTGATGCCCCAGTTTTTCCGCAACGCTCGCTCGTTCCTGTCCGAACACAGGGAGTATCAGCAGTTGAATCATAATCAAGCCGTCGAGGCGGATCGGCGGCGGCCCACTTCTGCGACAAGAGCTGCGATTGCTCGACTGGCTCGTTATGATATGGAGCTCTACGGCTTTGCAGTGTCTCTGCTCACAGAGCGCCTTCTCAGTTGTTCGCATCTGATGCGTGGTCTCACCATACCAGCACCATCGTCAACATGAGCTCAGTACTCTCCAGGATGCATGCACTGCCACGCACATACCAGCGAGCGCTGTGCGTATCGGCGCACAGTACAATCAACTTGTCTATTTATGGGTTGTCACGTGGAGCCGCCTCGTCTTGAAGTCTTTCTTGAGCTGTTTCGAAGTCACGGTGTCACTTTGAAAATCAATTCTCATACAACAACCGATTCTGATATACTGCCTGTTATACTTGATATGCTAATCATTTGTGAACGACAAAAGCCTGGCCAGTATCGCGAAATTGAAGGAAAGGACTGGTAAAAGGAAAGCCACTTGCGTAGCGAAACTCTGTTGAGCGCGAGCACTTGGTGTTGTTTGCGAGGCGAAAGGTGGTCGCATCACAGGTCAGTAGTAAGTTGATGGCTGCCATGTCACACGGCAAATGCCCACCGTGCGACCAAGGTTTGGGAGTCCAGACCCGTGATCGAAGGATGTTGGTCAAGCGGGTCAGGAGCCGCTGCATGCTTTGCATTTGCCCCACGATGGAGCCAACGTTGAGGACTCTCAAGCCAGCAAGCGCCTTCCAGTCATCAAAGGTTGAACAATGTGAAATTTGTTCCAAGGTCCATCTGTTGTCAACGGCAAAAGAACACACGCGAGCCAGTGAGCTGCCAAGCGCAAAGAACGCACACGAGCCAGTGTGCTGCCTGTATTCCGGGAGCACAAAAATTCTGCGTACGGATTTCGCTCAAATGGAAGTCGGTCCTCCCCAACCACGATGTCAAGATCAGAACGGTCTTGGAGAAGGCGAAAAGGATTGCGCCGCAACCTGTTCATATGCAAATGAGGAGTCAAGAAGAATTAAAAAAATGAAAAGCGAACAAAGCAGATCGCATTGCCCGCCACGCTGGCCACGATCGTTAGTCATTCCCCAGAAGAGAGGTGTTTGTGCAAAGGACGTACCGAACGTCATGCAAATCGCAAATGAGTACATAGTCCACGAGATGAGACTGGATGTGGCGACGCATGTGCTCCTCAATGATCAGATAGCGAGCGTCGTTGACAACCATTGTTTTTAGCACAGGGTCCGTGGCCGGGTCAGTCAAGTTGTAATAAAAGAAGCTGCAGCAGCAGACATCATGCAGTAAGGCACTGTGACAGTGGGTTACACGAGATTGCCACGAGTATGCAACAGAAGAAACAGAACGGCGGCAAGACAGAGGGGCAAACAAGCCAGGCGGATAGATGGGCAAACAGACCACGAACCGAATACGATCTGTCTCGAGTATCTACACCGGTGGTTCAAGAAAAGGTCCTCGTGAGCGACTCGGGAGGCGAGAAAAGACGGTTCATTTTGTCCATTTTGAGTCCAGAATGTACGAACCTGAATGATTTCTGGAGCAAGCCCATCATGCATCACATGCAGTTCCAGATCCAAGGAGCGCACGCTTTCATAAAAGCTGTAGTGGAGGGATGGTTCAAGAAGTTCAGAGCACACGAGGGGGGGGGGGGGGGGGTTTCTTCTCTCGAAGACAGGTAACGAGTGAATGCTTGCTGACCTGGCGAGTTTGACCACCGAGTTGATGTTCCATCTGATATGGCGTTGTGGGTCAATAGTCGAGCCAAAGAGTCCAGTGATGACAACACCTTGCGGTCGCTGCAAGTCCACCGACAGCGCACACGTGCCACATCAGAAGCTATTTCATTTTGCGGCGGTCCGTCTCAAGTATTGCTGCATCAAGATCCCGTGCCCAACCTGAAGCTGACGAAGGGTGGCACTGAAGAAAGACCATTTGGGTCGACAGCTCTGAACAAAGTCACGGGCAATGGCGGCCTGCAGGGAGAGTCCTTGCTCTGCTAGCCTGCGGTCGGGGAGGGTGCACGCTGGCCACACAGCGCGCAACGCCTCAAAATCACCCAGTTCAAACTCTGCCGATGAATGGGTGTAATTGTGTTCTGCACGCAAGATACGCAGCACGGTTGCTTCCTCCAGCTGAGTGGCAGGATAGTCGTTACCGGGGCCATCGAGCGCACGAGCATGTGGATGATTATTGACATGTCCCGTCCCCATGTCAGCCACAAACGCATCGTGCTCGCAGGAGCAGTGTCGGCAGGTAGATGCAGAAAACCCCTTACGTTGATCGTTGAATGAGATGCAAAAGGTACCGACGCATTCATCCTCTGGAAGGCACTTGCAGTACCGTTCCTTGGTGACGGTGTGCCGCAGGCGTTCGCCATGTTGACACCATGGCTGTCCAAGCACCAAATTGGCGCGACCCGGCTGCTGGCTCAAAGTCGCCAGGCACACCACCAAGAAGAAGATGCTGCGAGCTGGTAAAGCTTGAAACCCCATGACTGATGGCCTTGGTGCTGCCAATACCACAGCTGCTCCTCGAACGCCTTCGAGGGCATGAAGTGTGCGACGCGAGCTGTGCGAGCGGAAGTCGCGAAAGTGAAACGGTCACACACAAGCGCGTCCGCCTTTTGATGCTGACAATCCTGGCAATCAGTGAATCTGACAATTCCTGCTGACAATGGCAATTAATTTTTGAATAGGAGTGAACGCTATAAATCACGATTTAATGAGTCAAAATGTATTGGCGCGCTTGTTCAAGTTGCGTTGGTGACCTCGGCAACCAAGAAAAACGTTACAACATTCGCGATGCAAGCAGCCACAACACACACACACACACACACACACACACACACACACACACACACACACACACACACACACACACACACACACACACACACAACACCAACACACAACACAGAGCCTGCAAAGGCGAGAAGGATTATTCGGGTTGTCCGCGGAGGTGGCATTTTCCTGCTTGAGCTTGACTCGCAAACCAACTATACCAACTTTACGGCTAACGCCCTTTTTCAACAGTGCTTGCACTTCTTTTTTAACCCGGATCAAACGATCTGTATCCCTTGTGTATCTCGTTTCGCCTTGCTTGCTTGTACCCGCACGATGGCTTCCTATTTTGATAATGTAGATTCGACCTTTGGCGCGAGCGTTGATGGTAAGACAATGCCTCGCTGGCAACGCAAGGCCCTGGACAGCAACAGCAACACTGGACGCCTGCAGACTCCCAAGAAGGAGGTGCGTTCTTTCCTGTCCTGCTCTGCCTTGTCTGTCTGTGTGGATGTGATTTAGTGTGTGAGCAAGCTCTCATATAAAGTCCTTGTGCCGATCGATGACAGGCTGTTGATCGCTTCATCCCCAACCGTGCAAGCATGGACATTGAGGCGGCGCACTACAAGCTCACACACAGCGAGAACGTGCCCAGCCCCTCCAAGGAACACTATGCCAAGGCCATTGAGAGCACCTTGATGGGTGAGGCCAACAGCAAGATTTTGGCCTTTAAGCAGAAGGCTCCTCAGCCCAGCGAGGGTCATAAGAATGACCTTCGCGTTCTCTACACGCAGAACCGCGGCGCGCAGCGTGTGCGCAAGGCCAGCCGTGCTATTCCACAGAACCCCGAGCGCATCCTCGATGCCCCTGAGATGCGCCCCGATTTTTACCTCAACATCCTCGACTGGAGCTCACAGAACCAGATCGCGGTCGCGCTCAACAACTCTGTCTACATTTGGGACGCCGCCTCAGGCAACACCTTTGAGCTGTGCCACACTGAGCAGGCTGGTGATTACATTTCCTCCGTTTCTTGGGCCGGCGATGGCGCTCATCTGGCTGTCGGCACCAGCGACTCTCTGGTGCAGATCTACGACGTGACCTCACAGCGCAAGGTCCGCACCATGACTGGTCACAGCGGTCGCGTCGCGGCCATGGATTGGAACGGCCACATTCTCTCCACCGGCTCTGCCTCGGGCCTCATCATGAACTCGGACGTCCGCGTTGCTAACCACTGCGTCAGCGCCCTCGAGGGCCACTCTCAGGAGGTTTGTGGCCTCAAGTGGTCTCCTGATGGCAAGCTGCTGGCCTCTGGTGGCAACGACAACTTGGTCAACATCTGGAGCGCCAACGGCGAGCTGCGCCATACCCTCACAGACCATCAGGCTGCCGTCAAGGCCCTGGCTTGGTGCCCCTGGCAGTCGAACCTCCTGGCCTCGGGTGGTGGCACGGCCGATCGTCACATCCGCTTTTGGAACACCAGCAGCGGAAACTGCGTCAACTCGATCGACACACAGAGCCAGGTCTGCTCCCTTCTCTGGAGCGCCGAGCACCACGAGATCATCTCGGGCCATGGCTTCAGCAAGAACCAGCTGTCCATCTGGAAGTACCCTTCCCTGGCCCAGGTGACGGAGCTCACGGACCACACCGAGCGTGTCCTGGGCATGGCCATGTCCCCTGACGGTCAGACGGTGGCCTCCATTGCCGCGGATGAAACCATTCGCTTCTGGAAGTGCTTTGCAGCCGACGCCTCCAACAAGAAGCAAAAGGTTATGCCGACTTCATCGCGCCTTGGTGCCATGATTCGCTAAGCGGTCAGGTACGTACGTTGCCTCTCTCTCCCCTCCTCGCCCGCAGATGAGCGTGACTTACCCTCCTCCTCGCCCTCGCTTTCTTCCTATTGCCGGCGCTTCGCCACCCTCCTTCTGACCCAACTCGGGTTCAAGTGTGCTGTGCACAGAGGTCGGGGTTGTCATATGACATGGCGGGTTGAACTGGCGGGAGGCGCAGGAGGGGGTCTTGTATGTTTTTGTTTGTGTCGTCTTGTAACATACCTTATTAGATAAACTAGTCAACTACACCAAATCAGCGCTTTGCGGCGACATTATCAACCAGTTCTTCACTCCTGTGTTGTACTCGGAATGGTGTTTCTCAACACCACACCCAACTCTTGATCATCTTCCAGTTTTGCTCTCTGCTGCTCTGGCGCAATGAAGGATCACGAATGAAGCACATCATCAATTTGCTTTGATCCAGACTTCACAGGACCCAGAATACATCAAAATCGATGTGAATAAGACTACACACGACACAGGCCGCCTATGTTACACAGGGATACACGCTCGTCTCGCAAGCGATCTTTGGGCGTGGCTTTCTCATGCCTGGCTATGCCGCGAATAGTAGCGGACGGTGCGACGGGGCGATTCACCAGACGAGGGACCAGTCACATTGGGGGATGGCACGAAGAAGACGGCGGGTGAAGATTGTTGTTGCACGGGAGTTAACATGACAGAGCCTTGCGGGCCCATGACGGCAGGACGATAGACTTGCTGCACGCTTTGCATGCTTTGAGATGGACCGCTCATCAGGGGGACGTTGCCAGAAAGTGGGCTTTGCATCGAATACGAGGAGGTGTTCGCCTGGAAGGATCGACCAGTGGTTGGCGCTGGACCAAAGGCCATGGAAGACTGGCGAGGCATGCGTGCTCCTGCGTATGAGGGAGGAGGCGCAGCGCTCATCATTGGCGACCAAGGAAACGTGCCGAGCTGAGTGCTGGTGAGCGTGCGGCTGGCGAGCCTTGGTGGAGGACCATAGGTACTTCGGTAGGCCTCTGAGCGCAGGTGCGTGTTGTATCGCGGCGCAGCACTTGTATCAATCTCCTCATCAAACTCCAGGAAACCTGATTCAGATTCGGAGATACTAGACATGCTCGAGCTTGAGCCTGACTCGCTACTGTCTGCCGAGGCACGACGGCCATGCACAGTCTGGGTACGTGTACCACCAACCAGACGCTTTTTGCCACGCAAACCAAACGGATAGGCACCAGCCACGAAAATGGTGCCCAGGGTCATGCAAAGACAGCAGCATGCCAACAGGAAGAGGACCACAAGCACGCCAAACCATACAGCCAAATCTGAGTCATTGTCCAGGTCCAAGTTGAAAAAGTTGCTCGGAAGAGCCACAGTGTCCTCGCCGTTGGCTTGTTCGACGAACAAGCGACGATCTTCGACCGCATCTTCAATCTGCGATGGCGCAGGCTGGGGGCCCTCAACTGTCACGAAAATTGCGTCTTCGGGACCTATATTGCCAACGCAAAATTGGCAGGGAATTCAATAAGACCGATGAGCATTATGCGCACGGGCATTCATCGGCAGACGGCAAACAGACATGAGGTAGTGAAACCAGAGCCTAGAGCTCTGCCAAGCGTCAGCTTGAATCAGCCTCGACACAACGTCGTGCACTTACGGCGCGGCACTCGAAGCACATATGTCAAATCAAGCGGGTCAATGTTCAGCTCGGCAATTGACTCGTTGATGCGGCGAATAAAGTCGGCTTGAAGTTCAGCGTTGGTGTCACGGGCTTGAATGTTGCCGATTTCAGCCTCGCGGTCATCTACCAACAGGAGGAATTCATATGTACCATTCTCCTGAGCAGCTAAAGTGCTGGCTGCAGGCACAGTGACGCCATTTACAGTGACGGCAAAGTCGTCTTCGTTGACAGCTTGGACGATGGCTTCCTAAAAAGTTGGAGCATGGTGGAGGGAAAATGAGATTGAGTTGGAAAAGCGACCAGACACAATAGACATCTCAACCAATTCGAGGGGCAAGGGGGGACTGCATTAACGAACGCGGCTGTTAATGTTGCGCACAACAAGCGTTACACCCGTGACGCCGGTGGCTGCGCGAAAAATGGTGCAGTTGATGATATCAGCTGGGGAAATAGCCTCATTAACCAGCTCTGTTACAACAGCTTGGCAGAGTGCGTTCTCTTCAGAGGGGTTGTTCACAATGAAAAAGTAGTCGCGAGCCACATAGACAAGGACCACACCAAGTGACGCATCAGGCGTCGTGGTGGTAGATGTGGATGAAGACGTGCTAGACACTGTTGTACTGGATGAAGTGGAAGTGGAGGGTGATGAACTTGTTGAAGTCGAAGACGCAGTGAAGGTGGAGGTAGAGGTAGAGGTAGAGGTAGAGGTAGAGGTAGAGGTAGAGGTAGAGGTAGAGGTCGAGGTCGAGGTAGAGGTGGAGGTGGAGGTGGAAGTAGAGTTAGAGGTGGAAGTAGAGTTAGAGGTGGAGGTTGAGGTGGAGGTTGAGGTGGAGGTTGAGGTGGAGGTTGAGGTGGAGGTTGAGGTTGAGGTTGAGGTTGAGGTGGAGGTGGAGGTGGAGGTTGAGGTGGAGGTGGAGGTGGAGGTGGAGGTGGAGGTTGAGTTTGAGGTTGAGGTTGAGGTGGAGGTGGAGGTGGAGGTTGAGTTTGAGGTTGAGGTGGAGTTAGAGGTGCAGGTAGAGGTAGAGGTAGAGGTAGAGGTGGAG